AGAAATAAAATTTAACAACATAAACTGATTAGAAAAGAATTACAAGCGAGCCCGACATTAGCCCTTAAATGAGTTATATAAGCAAACCTCGGAAACCGTTTATACCTATCAAACTTCCCCCTGTTAATTCGTAGTCGGTAAATTCCTGAGGTTCCGTCTGGAATTCGAGGAAGATCGTTTCATCACAGGACCGAAAAAGAAATGGCTATCCTACAGGAGGTGCCGTGACATTACGATGGTCTAAAAAGTCCCTCGAGTAACGCTATCACGGATACGTGGCCGCAATTTACCGCCCCCGAAGAGGATTTAACCATAAAACGGGGGAAACGTAACGTTATCGAATTATCATCGGTGAAACTTTCTTATACATCTGCGCGTAATTGTCTGATCGCAAGTTCCAGGCGTGTTTGGAAATCGGCCATCATCAATTTTTCCATGACGTTCTTTGGAATTTCTCACCAACGTTTTTTTATTAATTAACACTTCTCGTTGCCGCCGTTTAACTCATTTGCATCACGAAGCGAAATACTCCAACAACAATAATGATTAAAAGTTTGACATTTGTAATTATTAACGCTAGAATTATCAAAATGGTAACAAACTGACCAATTTGTAATTGAATTTTCCAATGAAATTTTATATTCTTACAAACAATGTGTCTTTAAAGACTGGAACGATTTTTAGAAAATATTTTAAAACGTACAAATAGAAGGCTGCGTCCTTTATTATTTGTAAATTTGTTGTAAATTTTTTTCTGTTCCTCGCATTTCAATTTCTCTGCGGCGAATTTTATAAATGAACTCTTGCTGATTGAATCCGCTTATTTGAACCTGAATTACTATTATATGTAGCTGCTAGAAATTACTATTGTATTATATGAATTCCAATTGTGTAAACTGTATGTTCCCCCGACAAGTTCATAGATATGAAGTTCTACTGTACATTAATATAATTAATGATATTTTATTATAATCAATTGGTACTGATAGCATTAAATATAACCATCATCCGTCCCTCATGTTTCTGAACCTAATTCGTCCCCTGGTGTCCAACTGACATAACAACAAAAGATTAATGAAAAGATAAACAGCTGAATTTATAAGTTCTTCTGTTGCTAAATAAGCAAACTAAATTTTTATATTCAGTTGCGTGTAATTGTCTTTTCACCTTTGTTACCTGTTTGTTATTTCAACAATTTTCAATCTTCGTCCTCGTCTGTTTCTACTGTCAAAAATCGAAATGTCATCTGCATCACGGACGCGGATACGTGACGCTCGGCTCTGGATAGCACTTATGGTTGGTGAGTCGCACGTGTTAAGCCCCGCTACCGAGCTTCGTACCCCACGTAAACGACAAATCCTTGTAACTAATATCGAGGGAAGTTTAGGAAGGAGCGTATGAAAAGAAGCTGGAGGAGTTCCGAAACATAGGCAGGCTTTATGCCGGAAGTTCGTAAAACCGGCTGAATTTTACAGCTGTTGTGGGTGTGAAGTCCACGAGAATTTCGACACAGGCGGAAGTAAAGCCGGATATTTTACAACACCAACTTCCAGCCAACTTTCGCCAAGTTTCATTAGAAATTTAAAGACCGGAGTGCTTAAACATATGTGCACGCTAGTTCCAACGTTCCGCTTGGATCTCACCGCGTACGTACCAGTCGCTAATTCACCTAATTTGGTGTCGTCTGAATATACAGGATATGTCTGGTCATCGATGGTACAATCGAGCAAGAGATAAAAAAAAAATGAAAGAAATTTGGGAATAAATTTCCCGCAAAGAGGAACAAATCGAGAATGTGGAGTAAAGTTTTTTACGTATGAAGCTTCGTTCCGAGATTTAAAAGTCTGCCAGGCGATTTTAATTGAGTTTCTGGTGAACTTTTGTTTCTATGTTTTATGACAACGCTATTCTCTACTTCTCGTATTTTGTTCGAACTATGAAAATATGTTTCAAATATATAACTAGTTTTCTTTGATCTATCTTTTGTCTTTCATCTCATCACGTGGACCTATTTATAGAAAATTTGAAGGTGCACAAAACACCCAAAGAAGAACGTCGATGTTCAAAGTTCAATAAAATGGTAAAAAGCAAGGAATAAAAAGAAAAAATATTTCCGAGAGATTGATCGATCGAAAGAGAAAATTTCAATTTACGAAACCATGGTAGATCTGGCCGTAAGGAAAATGTTTTTCAATATTTTCAGAGACGTTTGAATTTTTACAATTTTCGAGAACAAAAATACTTTTCACCCGATATGCACGGTGTAAAAAAAAATCTTCGCGAAAAAACAAACGGGATTTAAACTGTCGATTTAAAGCGAGACGAATCTTGACAAAATTATAACAGTTTGAAATATTGACTATCCTTCGACGTGTTAGCGATACGAGTTATGCACTTCACTCTATACACTGACGACATAACTGAGTATACTTTTAATGACAAAATTTTGCGACAGAGCGAATTCAACGTTAAGCTTCTAATCAAACTGCAAACATGTGTGGAAGCTTTAAGCGTAATAACTGACAATAAACCTGACGAGGGGAACTCCGCCGACGCGATCAATGTCCCGGTTGGCTAGCATAGAATCCTCGGCCATTCGGAAATTCCGATTTTCCAGATTACGGGACCTCTGATCCTGATTTTGCCGGTTGAAGTTACGTCTATAGGTTGCGAGAGTTAAACTCACAACCGGCTTCGTCGAACGTCGAGCTCTGATCCACGATAATTGTAAATACGTGATAAACAGAAGCAAATAAATCATTCGCCATTGTGCACCGATTATACACGTGTCGATGATCATTGTAATTTTACCATTACGACAACAAATGTCCAACTTGTCGCTACGGAGCATCTGGTGTTCCAAACCGAGTACAAAATGATTTCTCACGAATACGTGTAATAATTTGTACGTCAATATAGATATTAATCTGTATAATCGATATAGAGATTTGTGATATGATATTTACGTATTTATCCTGTGATTCTAGACATGAAGACAATGAAGATAATAAAGAAATACTCATTCTTTGGATCGCAAAGAAGTTGCGTTTTGTAGGAAATTTTAAAATGCAAACTGAATGCTCATATTATGAAAGATAATTAATAATGCTTATTATTAATTATTACATAGTAATAATCCTGTTTAATGTCTCTATTTTTAATCTCTATTTTTAATCGTATTTTAAAAAATATGAACTCAAAAAAATCCGCGTTTCTCAATCATTTCAAATGTTCATGAAATTCCAACACGATTCGCTCAATATCATTTTACCATTATATCTTCTACCTGTTTTCTTTTTTTTTCTTTTAATCGTTCAATATTTTTAATCTCTCTCCCTTTGAATGTAATTATTCTATAATTTTCTGAAATTTCAAGAAATCAATGTATTTATAATAAATGATTACTTGGACCTTTGATAGATTAACATGCAATCGGTATCTCTCTTTGTGATTAAATTTCTTCTTACGGGAGAGAAATTATTCCACAGGTCTTCAATGAAAAATTCGCAATGATAGCGTACTCTTGAAGGAAGGCTCACACTTTTATGGGGACGGCGGGAAGTTCACGAGTCAGGTCTCGATTAATCAGCTTGTTGGCATGCAGCAACTTCACAGCGGCTCAAGAGCTTCATCGGCTAATGAATTTCAAAATTGGTCTGTTAATCGATTTCCTTTACGCGTCGTTCTCCCATCGTGTGCACTGCACATTATACATAATGATCAGACACCGAACAAGACTCTGCGACGTAGCTAGAATTTACGAGCGCCGAACTTTTCAACCTTGGTTCCACCCTGGTTTCCTCGCGGCGAGGACTGTCGCGAAATCTTTCTAGAGTCTATCGAAGATCTTTGAAACAGGTCTCGAAAGAGCCGCACAGCTCCCGACCGGGGGTCTTAGGAAATTCAAACGTTTACAACCAACTGCGGGAGAACTGTTAAGACGTTCGAGCAACTTTCGAGCTTTTCGACCAGCGTCATACGGTTCCAACTTTCTTCATTCAACACCGACTCGATTAAAGCTCGCCAAAACCGAATTTATACGAGCTTCGCCACGTTTCCTATAGACGTATAACTCAGTTAGAAATGTTGTATGTAACAAACAAACTTGGAAGTTTTTTTTCTTTTTTTTTTTTTAAATTCATTCAGGATTCAATTTTTCTAATTGAAAAGTAACTCAAAAAGCGACGTAATATTTAAAAGTGATACTGGCTTTGGAATGTTCGTACGTCACCCTTATTTTTCATCTTTGGAATATATGACCAGATTTCGAATACTTTCTGTATTCACGAAAAGGAATAATTGTCTTGTTTATAAGACTATCTCAATGATCGATGGCAGAAAATAAATCAAGACATAGAAATTGTAAAAATACATATCAGTGTAAATGTAAAATCGGTCTAATTTTAATTAATCAATACCTAAAAAATCGTTCGAAATCTTTCCTTTTCTATTTGAAATATTTCCGATCGATATGACTGACAAAAGAAATGTCTCTTTAATCTCATCTTTTAAACTTATCTCACGAGGAATCACTCGATTTACATATTAGACCCTGTTCACGATTCAACGCAACTAATCTAACCTATATTTTCTTATATTTTCAGATTACCTTGATAGTCCAGCCAATTTCCCACTCTCTTCCTTTATTTGCCAAAGCGAGAGATAA